TGTATTTCGTGCTTTGTGTGAAATCATATATTAAATACCGCGCCTATTTGAATGTAACGTTATGTCTAAATTTGAAAGCAATCGATGAAGAACTTTCGGAGATTAGCTATTATGCACAGACATGCTTCATTTATATATTACCACATCATTCATTATGTCTGTCTGTCTGTCTGTCTGTCTGTCTGTCTGTCTGTCTGTCTGTCTGTCTGTCTGTCTGTCTGTCTGTCTGTCTGTCTGTCTGTCTGTCTGTCTGTCTGTCTGTCTGTCTGTCTGTCTGTGTCGGTGTGTCGGTGTCTCGGTGTGTCGGTCTGTCGGTCTGTCGGTCGGTCGGTCAGTCGGTCTGTGTCTGTGTCTGTGTCTGTCTGTGTCTGTCTGTGTCTGTGTCTGTGTCTGTCTGTGTCTGTCTGTGTCTGTCTGTGTCTGTCTGTGTCTGTGTCTGTCTGTGTCTGTCTGTGTCTGTGTCTGTCTGTGTCTGTGTCTGTCTGTGTCTGTCTGTCTGTGTCTGTCTGTGTCTGTGTCTGTCTGTGTCTGTCTGTGTCTGTCTGTGTCTGTGTCTGTCTGTCTGTGTCTGTCTGTGTCTGTCTGTGTCTGTCTGTGTCTGTCTGTGTCTGTCTGTCTGTGTCTGTCTGTGTCTGTCTGTGTCTGTCTGTGTCTGTGTCTGTCTGTGTCTGTGTCTGTCTGTGTCTGTGTCTGTCTGTGTCTGTCTGTGTCTGTCTGTGTCTGTGTCTGTCTGTGTCTGTCTGTGTCTGTCTGTGTCTGTCTGTGTCTGTGTCTGTGTCTGTCTGTGTCTGTCTGTCTGTGTCTGTCTGTGTCTGTGTGTGTCTGTGTGTGTCTGTGTCTGTCTGTGTCTGTCTGTGTCTGTCTGTCTGTGTCTGTGTCTGTCTGTGTCTGTGTCTGTCTGTCTGTGTCTGTCTGTGTCTGTGTCTGTCTGTGTCTGTCTGCGTCTGTGTCTGTCTGTGTCTGTGTCTGTCTGTGTCTGTGTCTGTCTGTCTGTGTCTGTGTCTGTCTGTGCCTGTGTCTGTCTGTGTCTGTCTGTGTCTGTATGTGTCTGTGTCTGTATGTGTCTGTGTCTGTCTGTGTCTGTCTGTGTCTGTGTCTGTCTGTGTCTGTCTGTGTCTGTGCGTGCGTGCGTGTGCGCGTGTGTGTGTGTGTGTGTGTGGTGTGTGTGTGTGTGTGTGTGTGTGTGTGTGTGTGTGTGGTGTGTGGTGTGTGTGTGTGTGTGCGTGCGTGTGTGTGTGTGTGTGTGTCTGTCTGTGTGTCTGTGTATGTGTGTGTGTGTGTGTGTTGTTGTTGTTGTTGTTGTTGTTGTTGTTGTTAAAGGAAATGACAAAAATTAAAGTCCAAAGTTATCCGGTGGCGCCTTTTATTAGTTGACGGGAAAGCCAGTACGCCTAAACACTATCAGTGACCCAGATGCACAAGAACTGTCAACTGCCTGGCTGAACCCTAAGGTATTCTTGTGAGCAGTTTGAACAACTTCACTCGCTAAGGTCATCGATTATCTCGCAGTCCTAAAGGAACCAACGAACTCTACTTTCAAAGAATCACAAATTGGGCACGCAGATTCATCTTACATTCGGCCCTTCCAAAGATTGATCCTTAACACCGCAATTGTATTGAATCAGTAAAACATTCTGCGTTCATTTAACCATATCTATTATATAAATATCACAAGGGGTTGGGGGGGGGGGGGGAAGCATGGAAGGTGAATGCATGCGCATATGAGAAGAAAATAGCCTGTATTGAGCTGAAATGCTATAGAAAAATTCTCAGAATAACATGGACAAAGAAGAGAAGAAATAATGACATCCTTCAAGATCTGATATCAACGAAGACTGACTGACTTTTATTATTATTATTATTATTATTATTATTATTATTATTATTATTATTATTATTATTATTATTATTATTATTATTATTATTATTATTATTATTATTGTTGTTGTTATGGGTTAAACATAAAATATTTACAATATTATACATTAAAACATGGTTAAGGAGATGATGACTTAAATACTAAAGTAAAAGTTTTTAATTCTAATGTCAAATCAGTACTTTTGTATGGAGCGGAAACATGGAGAACAACCAAGGCAATTACTAATAAATTACAGACATTCATTAACTGGTGCCTGCGCAGAATAGAGGGAATTAAATGGTATGATAGAATAACTAATGTAGAGCTTTGGGAGAGAACTAAACAGGCTCCAGTGGACCAAGAGGTGAGGAAAAGACGCTGGCGTTGGATAGGACACACACTGAGAAAACAGGAGAACAGCATAACTAAAATGTCTTTGCATTGGAACCCACAGGGGCATAGGAATAAAGGAAGGCCCAAAAACACATGGAGAAGAGAGCTGGAGAATGAAGTTAGAAAGATGGGGAGGACATGGGGAGAGTTGCATGCAATGGCGAAGGATAGAACGACTTGGCGTGAGTTGGTTGAGGGCCTATGCTCCATTGGGGGATAGAAAGGCAGAAGAAGGAGATGACTTAGCCCGATGAAAATTTGGAGGGAGGCTTAAGAAATACTGAGGAAAACGGTGGGTGGGTGGTGAGGTGGGGGGGGGGGGGGAGGGACTGTGAGTGTGAGGCCAACATAAATTTACTTGATATCCATCTACACTGCCAATCGTAATGGCACATTCCTGGTAGACAAATGCATAGCCAATGATCTGTAACGTTCGAACCTGGATCGACGACACATGCGTATCTCAGTGAGGAGAGATATGATTGATACCCCCCCCCCCCCCCCCCCCACACCACCCACATTTTGTAAACTTCTCTCTATGTTTGAGATTGGGGGGGGGGGGGGGGGTGAGGGTGTGTGCATGGCTTTCTGGGGCTGCTTGATGTGCCCGGGCACCCAATTTCTGACGCCCCCGATGGCCGAATAGTGCAGTTACACACAGCAAGCAGATCTACAGAGGAAATCTGATATTCACGCTTTGGTGCAGCTGATTCTGTCGGCTTTTAACTGCGTCCATAGCATTTGTGAAGACAACAAGATTTATAGAACAGATCAAACGACGGGATCACAACAGATAAAATACGGACAATTTATAAAAACGGGAAATAGGTAAAATAACAGGCAATCAAGGTAACAGACATTTCTAGAAGTGAGAAGGAAGGAGACAGACAATTATTACTGGGTGCAACAACGGTGAGTGTCCACAGTATATGTCTTGTTTGTTTGTTTTCTGTTGCCACAACGGAGCTTCGATTCATTGAATCCTTTTGTTAACTATGATGATATCACATCGTGAGGCCCCAGTCTCTTCCACGGTGCGATTTTCGCACTTCTGACCTAAGCTACGAGAACGACTTCCGGCCAATAAAGCGGATACGAGTGTTTAATCGTGGTACGTGTTTGCTTATTACAGTCATTAGCAATTGCATTTTCCTCCTTTTTTAGACTGAAAGAATATAGTACCGTTGCTCGGCTACTGAGATGGCTGCATGGTGCGACACTGTGAACTGCGGATTGTATTTGCAAGGAATATCGACTGTGCCCAACGTGGTTTGTGCGTTGCACTACAGATTTAGAAAATGGCGGCTGGCCTATTGCCAGAGAACTTGTGGTGATTTACTGTGTGTGCAACTAGGCATGTGTTGTAACTGCTGCTCTAATCGATGACGAACTGCATTTCTAGTGTCGGACTGTCTGTACTGGCACTTCTTAAGGCTACCTTACTATGCATTTAATGCGTGTGTGTGTGCTATTCGCATTGCTAAGACTACAGTCACTGTCAGTTTTCTTCCACAAGGGACAATGAGGGACATTCTGTGTGGTTTTCACAAGGGACAGTGAGTGGCATTTTGTATGGTTTTTGTTGGTACAGGAAGGAAGCAATCAAGTGGTGACCCGTTTGGCATGAAGTTGGACTGCGAAAAGCTGATAATATTGTTACCATGCGAATAATCTTCTTTCTCCGTATGTGCTGAGGGGCTGCATACTGGGGGAAATCAAGGATAGAACCACTGGCTGACTCCCTAAAAAGCACTGTCGTAAGAATTGACTAATTAAGGAGTTTCATTATAAGTCGGACTGCATCTTAACCAACAATCTGCATAAAAATAAGTCGGATTTGGAAAACGGATGTACATTATGGGACAAGACCAAAGTCCAGACGTGAACGTATAACTTTCTGCTGGAGTTTACAGCCGATAAATTCGAAGAAAAAGAAGAAGAAGAAGAAGAAGAAGAAGAAGAAGAAGAAGAAGAAGAAGAAGAAGAAGAAGAAGAAGAGAAGAAGAAGAAGAAGAAGAAGAGAAGAAGAAGAAGAAGAAGAAGAGAAGAAGAAGAAGAAGAAGAAGAGAAGAAGGAAGAAGAAGAAGAAGAAGAAGAAGAAGAAGAGTTTGAATTAGAAGAAGAAGAAAAGAAGAAGAAGAAGAAGAAGAAGAAGAAGAAGAAGAAGAAGAAGAAGAAGAAGAAGAAGAAGAAGAAGAAGAAGAAGAAGAAGAAGAAGAAGAAGAAGAAGAAGAAGAAGAAGAAGAAGAAGAAGAAGAAGAAGAAGAAGAAGAAGAAGAAGGTAGAAGAAGAAGAGTATGAAGAATTGAATTAGAAGAAGAAGAAGAAGAAGAAGAAGAAGAAGAAGAAGAAGAAGAAGAAGAAGAAGAAGAAGAAGAAGAAGAAGAAGAAGAAGAAGAAGAAGAAGAAGAAGAAGAAGAAGAAGAAGAAGAAGAAGAAGAAGAAGAAGAAGAAGAAGAAGAAGAAGAAGAAGAAGAAGTAGAAGAAGAAGAAAAAGAAAGAAGTTGCACTGTGAAACAAGTTTACTAACCTCTAAATTGCACAGGCGCTTCTTGCGTTATGTGATTGGTTCGATACAGGTGGCTAACACAATAGTTCTAAAATTAGGTCATACTCATCTTTGTTTCTGTCACTGGCCATGTAACACACCTGTGATATTTGTCTAGGCTCTGCAGTTTTCGGACTGTTCATGGAGTACTGCAGTATCGGCAGTACAGTCCAAGCCTAGAAGAACATTCAGTTTACTGATATGGCACATAATGATGTCAACTACATCCCTTTTCAAGACGAATTAGATAACAGCAGTTGTCGTATACGTCAGATCGGTGAGTTTTTATCGCTCGAGTTTCCTTCGAGGTCAGGGTGCATCCGCCTAAGTGGCGAGAAACAAACAGTCTGCAAACATATAAGGCAGATCTGTAATTTGGATGATGCAAACTCAAGTTCTGCTACAAGACCTTTGGACGAACAACCAGAATTTTTAAAATTTGCAGCCAGTGAACGCGCAGAAGAAGACGATTCCTTCATTCAGTAGCATGTCCCTCGCGGAACCTCGCTGCCATAACAACCCTCCGGAAAACCTTCCTATCCTGAGCAAGATGTCCTGCGTCTGATACACCCATCTGGAGATCATCTGCCACATCCTGCACCCAACTTCTCCTTGGCCTTCCTCTTCCTCTCTTCCCAGGCATATACCCCTCCATTATTGTTCTCTCTAGACTTCCATGACGTTTCAAGTGACCAAAATATTTCAATTTTCTTTGTTTTATTGTCTTTACTAGCCAACCCTCTTCAATATTCAGCTCTTGAAGTATGGATGCATTTGTTCTTTTCTTTACCCAAGATATTCTTAGAACCTGTCTGTAACATTTATATTCAAATGCATTTATGCGCTGTTCCGCTTGTTTAGTAAGTGTCCAGGTCTCACAGACGATTGAGTAAGCATACGCAAATAAGTGGCGAGGCTTGATCATTTCGCATTTGTAAGCGTTAGCAGGTAACGATTACACTGGATAGAGAGAGTATCATGGAAACTTTTCTGTCTCTCACATGGAGGATGACCGTATCTAGTATGGTACAATAGACAACGGGAAATGATCTGTAGGAAAACTCAAGCTACACTATAGGGACATTTGTAAACGCGACCTGAAATATATCAACACAGACACAGACATTGGGGAGAGATCAGCTGCAGACAGACTCACGTGGAAACAGACAGTGAAAGACAGACTGTCGCAATTTTCAAGAGGCCCAATGCTGCAAGCTGTAGAGAAGAAATGTCTGAGAGAGAACCAACCTCAGCATAATAGAGTATCCACGTTTGTTTGTTGTCTTGTTGTCAGGGACCGTCACTCCCACATCAGACTTTGCAGTCAAAGCAGACGCTGTTCCCAAATCCAGGGGTACAACTTTATGGCCCTTGAGATTGATGGTTGCTTACCAAAATTGTATGTGCGTGTGTGTGTGTGTGTGTGTGTGTGTGTGTGTGTGTGCACTTTACACACCTTATATAAGAACCCCTTTACTGTAAATTTACTGTTAACGGTGTTTCGCTACATCAATGATACTATAAAGTGCATCGCTACTCCAAAGATACTATTCGGTGTATCGCTACTCCTATGTTACTGTTTAGTGTATCGCTACTCCTATGTTACCGTTCAGTGTATCGCTACTCCAATGTTACCGTTCAGTGTATCGCTACTTCAATGTTTCTGTTCAGTGTATCGCTACTTCAATGTTTCTGTTCAGTGTATCGCAACTTCAATGTTTCTGTTCAGTGTATCGCTACTTCAGTGTTTCTGTTCAGTGTATCGCTACTCTAATATTACTGTTTAGTTTATCGCTACTCCGATGTTTCTGTTCAGTGTATCGCTACTCTAATATTACTGTTCAGTGTATCGCTACTTCAGTGTTTCTGTTCAGTGTATCGCTACTTCAGTGTTTCTGTTCAGTGTATCGCTACTCGCTATTCCGATGTTACTGTTCAGTGTATCGCTACTCCGATGTTACTGTTTAGTGTATCGCTACTCCGATGTTACTGTTCAGTGTATCGCTACTCCAGTAATGACCGACTGACTGACTATCCACAGGAAACATGCTGTCTAATCGTTCCTCTTGCATTTCTTTTTTGTCTATAACTGCCGCCGCCGTGGATTCTTTCTTCTTCTTCTTTCCTTCTTCCCTCCTTCCTTCTTCCTTCCTTTCTCCTTTTTCTTCTTCTTCTTCTTCATCAGCATCTTCTTCTTCTTCAGCATCTTTATCACCATCATCAGTGCCCGTCATTAGGCAGTAACTTGTTCAACTGACATGTCTGTTTTATTAGATAATCTCTGCTTTTTGTCTACTGAAACTAACAATTGTATACTTATAACATATTCCGCGTATCTCAGGCAGTTGTTTTATCATGGACACTGAAGCTGTGAGGTCGAGTCCTCTGCTAGAGCTTCGTCAACGAGATGACCTGCGACAGCTAGAGCCAAAGAAAAGATCCTTGCCCGAAAGAATGTCATGTGTCAGAAACAACATCCGGGTCAACTCTTTCGCCAAGGCCACATCAGGCTTAGAACGTCAGAAGTGCAAAACATTGCAGACATTACATGAAAGCTGTGGCAAACTGCGGCATGAGGTAGCTGTTGTCTTCCACAAGGAGCAAGTCATTTCATGTGCAGTGTCTACTTTGTTGTATGAATGTCTGTCTGCGTATTCGATTCTCAAAACGTATGTCTGCTTACCTGTTGTACCACTAATTGCATGTCTGTCTGCCTGTCTATGTACTTGACCTCTAGATCGCCTGTCTGTCTTTCTGTTTGACTGTCAGACTGCAGGGTTCCACTGAGTGCCGATTGGTCTATACAAACACCTGGTTATCGAAAACGATTGTCAGGATTTCAAACTAATATATTATAACATAAGAATTTAAGAGGTATACACGCCTGGCAACTTCAAATGTTCTGCGTCTGTGGATAAGGCACTGAGAACGTGCTTCGTAATGCCGGGGTGCCAGGTTCGATCCCAGCAGCGGACGATTGTCTTACGTTGGTTTCGACAGTGGTGCTAAGTACTGACCGTACAGGGAGCAATGAAAAACTACTGAACGTAAAAATTAGTCCAGAAAAATGATACCAGCAACAACAAAAGTTGGGGTTGGTTCTGCACGACTAACTTAATCCACTTTGATAAGGTGTCATTTGGAGCTCTGGTGATGTTTAGACGGTATTCAGTCTCCTGCCACGTCTGCTTAATCGTGTCCAGTTGAGGCTACAATTGTTGCAGTGGCCCTGTCTTTAAGGTGCCGGAGGTTCTTGTCTTTCTCGCCGCCGTATGAATACATTCAGTCTTCCAGTATAAAAACAGCAGATAACCGCGGCAGTTATTCTCGATGACCTTTCTAGGTCAGGTGAAGCAAAGGTCACTTTTCCAACGCCTTTAGGGGCATTAGGCATATAGGGTTAGACCTATATTAAAAGACCAACCGGCACTTGGTGAGTGATGCGGTCGTCATCACGCCTGCCACCTTTACTTCCCAGGACTGTACCTGTTACCGACTCAAAGCAGGGTCGACCAGAGAGTCAAGGTCATTTTTGAAAAAAGTCTGGCTCCGTTAGGCTCCGAACCCACGACCTTCCGATCCGCAGGCGAGAGTGTAGCCGCTACACCACGGCGTCTCCCCTTGTAGGGGAAGTATGGTGACCATAATATCTTTAGCTGAAAACGGGACAGTCCACATATATTTAAATCTGAAAACGGGACATTGCACGAACATCTGGATATAAAACGGGACATTCTATGCAGTTCAGTTTAACCCCACCTTACCCTCATCCCCAAACATGTTCTAGAATGTATTTTTTTTAAACAATTATTATTATTATCATCATTATTATAGTTATAATTATTATTTTTATTAGTATCTAAAACTATTAACTCTAATAGGGTCTGCATATTTCATCATCAAAGTATGTTCTATTCTTGAGCTTACTACCAGACTTTTATGAAACAGAACACGGCGCTTGTAAGGGTGCTCACCGTCGAAACGGCCGGTGCACACCCAGAATACGGAACCGTGGCGGTGAAAACAGGACAGATCACTTTTTGTATTGGACTAGTATTCTATGCCCGATGCGCCCATGGCGTTGAACTGGTGCTTGTCTACTGTGTTTCTATAACAATCTATGCTTACCTCTAAAACAGTAGACAAATGGGCAACTCTCTCTTTTCTTGATGGTTGAACAACATCATCCAAGACAAGACTGTATGCATCACAGTGGTGCCCGTGTGTCTTTTCTGGTTTATTATGTTATGTTATGTTATGTTATGTTATGTTATGTTATGTTATAACAATCGACGTCACTGCACCCTGGTAATTTCTATGCGTGCTCAGTGCTCACTCCAAAGTGCCTCAACTGATTGTTCCCATGAGGTCGTGGTTATTACGGCTTCTATCTGGGCTTCAAAGGCGGCATAAATGTGTCTGTGCTTCTTGTTTGTGTATTTCCATGGTGTTGTATTTTGTTTGTGCTGGTAATTTATGCGGAAATACGTTCAACAAATTTCTGTCGTACAATTGATGATGATGATGATGATGGTATCTCTGTCTGTCTGTCTGTCTGTCTGTCTGTCTGTCTGTCTGTCTGTCTGTCTGTCTGTCTGTCTGTCTGTCTGTCTGTCTGTCTGTCTGTCTGTCTGTCTGTCTGTCTGTCTGTCTGTCTGTCTGTCTGTCTGTCTGTCTGTCTGTCTGTCTGTCTGTCTGTCTGTCTGTCTGTCTGTCTGTCTGTCTGTCTGTCTGTCTGTCTGTCTGTTTGTCTGTCTGTCTCTCTCTCTCTGCGCCTTTAGGTTCCCTATCTCTGTCTGTCTGTCTGTGTCTCTCTTTGGGTTCCCCATCTCTCTCTCTTTCTCACTCTCTCTCTCTTTGATTACCTTTGGGTTCCAAATCTCTGTGCGCTCTCTCTCTCTCTCTCTCTCTCTCTCTCTTTCTCTCTGCTGACTCCTTTTGGGTCCCCTCATCTCTCTCCCTCCCGTTCTCTGTCTGTCTTTCTGACTCCCTTTGACCCCCCCCCCCACCCCCTCCCTCTCTCTCCTGCGTACACCCATTTTTTTAATGCCCATGAACAGATCAAGCTACTCGACCTGGATCGCTTCAGTCACGAAATGGACGTGCGAAAGCGGCTAGCGCCAGACAAGGACTTCACGTGCGAGGACTCCCATATACAGAACACATCCCGTCGCCTGGGCACAGGTGTGACTTCCTGTTACCTGGACAAAAGCCTGTCGTATCCCCTGAGAAGCAGGTAAGCGAAACCCGTCTGTCAGTATCAAATGTTCCCGTCTGTGAGTATCAAATGTCCCCTCTGTCAGTATCAAATGTCCCTGTCTGTCAGGATCAAATGTCCCTGTCTGTCAGGATCAAATGTCCCTGTCTGTCAGGATCAAATGTCCCTGTCTGTCAGGATCAAATGTTCCCGTCTGTCAGTATTAAATGTCCCCGTCTGTCAGTACCAAATGTTCCCGTCTGTCAGTATCAAATGTCCCCGTCTGTCAGTACCAAATGTCCCCGTCTGTCAGTATCAAATGTTCCCGTCTGTCAGTATCAAATGTTCCCGTCTGTCAGTATCAAATGTCCCCGTCTGTCAGTATCAAATGTTCCCGTCTGTCAGTACCAAATGTTCCCGTCTGTCAGTATTAAATGTCCCTGTCTGTCAGTATCAAATGTTCCCGTCTGTCAGTATCAAATGTTCCCGTCTGTCAGTATCAAATGTCCCCGTCTGTCAGTATCAAATGTCCCCGTCTGTCAGTATCAAATGTCCCCGTCTGTCAGTATCAAATGTCCCTGTCTGTCAGTATTAAATGTCCCCGTCTGTCAGTATTAAATGTCCCCGTCTGTCAGTATTAAATGTCCCCGTCTGTCAGTATTAAATGTCTCCGTCTGTCAGTATTAAATGTCCCCGTCTGTCAGTATTAAATGTCCCCGTCTGTCAGTATTAAATGTCCCCGTCTGTCAGTATCAAATGTCCCCGTCTGTCAGTATCAAATGTTCCCGTCTGTCAGTATCAAATGTTCACAAATGTCCCCCGTCTGTCAGTATCAAATGTCAGTATCAAATGTCCCCGTCTGTCAGTATCAAAATGTCCTATCTGTCTGTCAGGATCAAATGTATCAAATGTCCCCGTCTGTCAGTATCAAATGTCTCAGTATCAAATGTCCCCGTCTGTCAGTATCAAATGTCCCCGTCTGTCAGTATCAAATGTCAGTATCCGTCTGTCAGTCAAAATGTCCCCGTCTGTCAGTATCAAATGTCCCCGTCTGTCAGTATCAAATGTTCCCGTCTGTCAGTATCAAATGTCCCCGTCTGTCAGTATCAAATGTCCCCGTCTGTCAGTATCAAATGTCCCCGTCTGTCAGTATCAAATGTCTCAGTATCAAATGTCCCCGTCTGTCAGTATCAAATGTCCCCGTCTGTCAGTATCAAATGTCTCAGTATCAAATGTCCCCGTCTGTCAGTATTAAATGTCCCCGTCTGTCAGTATCAAATGTCCCCGTCTGTCAGTATCAAATGTCCCCGTCTGTCAGTATCAAATGTCCCCGTCTGTCAGTATCAAATGTCTCAGTATCAAATGTCCCCGTCTGTCAGTATCAAATGTCCCCGTCTGTCAGTATCAAATGTCCCCGTGTGTCAGTATCAAATGTCCCCGTCTGTCATTATCAATTGTCCCCGTCTGTCAGTGTTTATCAAATGTCTTTCGACTGTCAGTGCATCTGCCTGAGAACCAAGGAACTAACAGCCGGCACACAAATGAGCTAGATCTGTAATACGTATTTGCACTCAAACCTCAAGTTCTGAAATAAGACTAAAGTCTAGTAGTGGACGAACAACCATAATTTTTGCCGGTGAACGAGAAGAAGAGGTTTGTGATATCTGCGCCTTTTGGCCCAACCTATTAGGTTTTAGCAGTCTTACCTGGTGACCTGTTATTTCCACACCCATCCCCAAAAGGGGTCCATGAAACCCACACCCGTCCCCTAAAGGGGTCCATGAAACCCACACCCGTCCCCTAAAGGGGTCCATTAAACCCACACCCGTCCCCTAAATGGGCCATGAAACCCACACTTGGGGTTTTAAACTTTGATAATGCCTCTGATATTAGTGATGTTACTTTTTGAAGCGATTTTACACAAATCCGTTCACTTCACTTGGGCAAACTATACATTTCTTCACCAGATCAGTACGAGACACGCCCATTGTAAGGAAGGCCAGGGCAAGCCTACGAATTCAAGAGCTACACAGATCCTTCAAGAAACACGTAGAAACAAAAAGAGCCAACACGCAGAGTGTCACACCTTCATCCAGCCAAATGTCAGCAATCCCCGGAACTTCAAGCAGAAATCAAGCACAGCATTCCTCAAAATATGGCCTCTTCTCCAGCGTCACAGGCAAACATGCATCCAGCCCAGCTGTTCGCGGACCTACCACTTTAACAGACAATCATCAACAGTATTATTCCCGCCAAAATAAAAAGCTTAAGTTTCCACCCCATTTAGCAACTCCTGGTTTTGATAAACGCGGGAAAATTACAGCATCCACAAATGCAAAGTTGATGACGCTGACTTCTGTCATCTCTGATGATCTTAACGATAGTTTCAACTGTTCTGAAGATGAACCCCCACATCTACCAGAACATATCGATCTGAAAGCTCACTTTTTTGGTGGGAGACAGAGCACCAGCGTCAAATTGCAAACTCTGTCATCATCGAGCAATACAATAACAAGCCAACAATTGTTGCGGCCGAAGAAGCTGAAAACTACTCCTCATAGATTACTGACGGATAGATTACAAAACGAGGTGTGTCACATAAACACGAAAGTTCTGGAATTTTTGAGGAGTTTTCCTACATCTAAATATAATCAAGGAGTCTCTAAACGAAACGACTTGAACAATTATTTAAAATATCAGATTATTAAAGACAACAACGCTACAACACCAAAAGAATCAGAGAAAGTCATCGCAGGTCTGGATGCCCCTATCGTCGCTGCAGAGCCTCACTGTGAGGTTCATCTTCCTGCCACTGACAGGCAAAGTGATAAACCGTTTCAGCCAAACAGACACAATACTTCGGGACTTGGAGAAACATCCACACGAAGTCAATACAGCTGGAAATTAATAAAAGGCACGTCAACAAAGGATCGACAGACAAGGACACAGACGGTCAACGATCTGGTTCTTCAGGCATTAACAGGAATGCCTATCTGCAACATCCTAGGCTCTCATGTGCCTCTGCGTGCAGCGTCTAGGGCCATGCGACACACAGCAACCTTTAAAATGCACACAATTCTAGAGAATCTTGTAAATGAAAGAACACGCTATCAGAAATATGAAATCGGGGAACTCAGACGAGCTATGGAGGGACAGAAGAATGTGACATCTGGATCAGCTGTTGGCAGACCTGAATAGTTGTTTACAGATGTTTAACATTGAGAGGATCCACTTTATTTTACTGGGTTCCACGAATGGGTTCCGGGGACCTATTCTGGAAAGACGGAGATGTGCCAGCGATGCAATCACGATTGTTAACGTGACGTTTATCGCTTTCATCATCATCATCTTTAAAAATCGTTATCATCGTCATCATCGTCATCATCATCATCGTCACCATCATCATCATCGTCATCATCGTCACCATCATCATCATCGTCATCATCATCATCATCGTCACCATCATCATCGTCATCATCATCATCGTCATCATCATCATCGTCACCATCATCATCGTCATCATCATCGTCATCATCATCGTCATCATCATCATTATCGCATGTAATTAGTGATACAATTATGGGAGTACAATTCCTGTCTTGTGTTCACTTGATTCTGTCCTCTAGGCTGCCTGATTAATTAACCCATATAGTCTGGTACAGTCCGTTTCCAAAGTCGTGTCCAAATTAAAAAATCTGTAACTAAATAACTGTTCGGTATAAAGAGTGGAAATTTGGAATGCAACATGTTAATAACTATGTCATTGTAGAAAAATAAATAATCTTATAAAAATAGATCTAGCTTTTTTATGTTGCTTTATTTGCGGTACAGGAAAGAGCAGGAACTAATTAAAAATATACAATTATAATTTTTTTTTTACAGCTCACAGAGTGATGCGAATTTGGCAAAACTTGATGTTGTGTTGAAGACCCCACCACCCCAAAAGACGCCTAATGGCTGGGAAAAGGGTCCTTTACTTACTTTTTTTCCCCCACCTCTGTCTACAGCAAAACCGTGTTTTTGAGAGGGGTGACCCGAGGAACCAACAAAAGTAAGTCAAGGACACTTTTCCACGCCATTAGGCATATAGGGCATATAGGGCTAGACCTATTATTTTTTAGGGACCAATCGGCACAAGGTGGGTGATGTGGTCAACATCACACCGGCCGCCTCTACTTCCCGAGACTGCACCCGGTACCCACTCAAGGCTGGGTCGACCTGGGAGCCAAGGTCTTTTTTTTTTAAGTCTGGCTCCGCCAGGGAGCGAACCCATGACGTTCCGATCCACGACGAGTGTCTATCCGCTCGGCCACGGCGATTCGCTTGGCCCAAGGTGCCTTATCCCATTTCCTGGCAACTGGAGTGTACAGACAGCAGGTTTGTGTGGGGCAGACAGGTTACATCTATAGGTTGTGTGGGACAGACAGGTTACATCTATAGGTTGTGTGGTGCAGACAGGTTACATCTATAGGTTGTGGGAGACAGACAGGTTACACCTATAGGTTGTGTGGGGCAGACAGGTTACATCTATAGGTTGTGTGGGACAGACAGGTTACATCTATAGGTTGTGTGGGGCAGACAGGTTACATCTATAGGTTGTGTGGGACAGACAGGTTACATCTATAGGTTGTGTGGAGCAGACTGGTGACATCTATAGGTTGTGGGAGACAGACAGGTTACATCTATAGGTTGTGTGGGGCAGATAGGTTACATCTATAGGTTGTGTGGGACAGACAGGTTACATCTATAGGTTGTGTGAGACAGACAGGTTACATCTATAGGTTGTGTGGGGCAGACAGGTTATATCTATAGGTTGTGTGGGACAGACAGGTTACATCTATAGGTTGTGTGGGACAGACAGGTTACATCTATAGGTTGTGTGGGGCAGACAGGTTACATCTATAGGTTGTGTGGGACAGACAGGTTACATCTATAGGTTGTGTGGGGCAGACAGGTTACATCTATAGGTTGTGTGAGACAGACAGGTTACATCTATAGGTTGTGTGAGACAGACAGGTTACATCTATAGGTTGTGGGGGGCAGACAGGTTATATCTATAGGTTGTGTGGGACAAACAGGTTACATCTATAGGTTGTGTGGGGCAGACAGGTTACATCTATAGGTTGTGTGGGACAAACAGGTTACATCTATAGGTTGTGTGGGACAAACAGGTTACATCTATAGTTTGTGTGGGACAGACAGGTTACATCTATAGTTTGTGTGGGACAGACAGGTTACATCTATAGGTTGTGGGGGGCAGACAGGTTACATCTATAGGTTTGTGTGGGGCAGACAGGTTACATCTATAGGTTGTGTGAGACAGACAGGTTACATCTATAGGTTGTGGGGGGCAGACAGGTTACATCTATAGGTTGTGTGGGACAAACAGGTTACATCTATAGGTTGTGTAGATTTCGGTGTTCTTCCGCCAATGGATCACGGCCCACTGGAAATGTCCAGGAGGACAGGAGACAAAGTCCAAGTGGACAGGGGGAAAGTCCATGTGGATAGGGGGAAAGTCCATGTGGATAGGGGAAAAAACCATGTGGACAGGGGGAAAGTCCATGTGGACAGGGAAAAAGTCCAAGTGGACAACAGAAAAGTCCTACTGGACAGAGGGAAAGTCCAAGTGGACGGGGGAGAGTACAAGTGGACAGGGGGAAAGTCCAAGTGTACAGAGGGAAAGTCTATGTGGACAGAGGTGAAAGTCCATGTGGACAGGACGAAAGTCCATGTGGACAGGGAGAAAGTCCATGTGAACAGAGGGGAAAGTCTATGTGGACAGGGAGAAAGTCCAGGTGGACAGGGAGAAAGTCCATGTGAACAGAGGGGAAAGTCCAGGTGGACAGGGAGAAAGTCCAGGTAGAGAGGGGGAAAGTCCAAGTAGACAGGGAGAAAGTCCAAGTAGACAGGGGGGAAGTCCAAGTAGACAGGGGGAAAGTCCAGGTGGACAGGGAGAAAGTCCAGGTGGACAGGGGGAAAGTCCAAGTAGACAGGGGGAAAGTCCAAGTGGACAGGGGGAAAGTCCAAGTAAACAGGGGGGAAGTCCAAGTGGACAGGGGGGAAAGTCCATGTGGACAGGGGGAAAAGTCCAAGTGAACAGGGGGGAAGTCCAGGTGGATCACTGTCACGAGACGATCTCAGTGATTCCAGAAGTTAGTACTTGTAATAAGTTCTTCTGGTTCTAAAGAGACAGAATTATATTTACTCTGCGCTTTATCCTAATATTGCTTTAAACCGCACGGATTTAAATTGTTTCCAGTCCTTAGTCCAGACAAAGCGACTCAGTCTTGGGTAATGTTACACAATTACACCGGGGCTAGAGAATTCCCTTTCACATGCCCATGTCATAAATGTTATCTCCTGACCAGACTGCTTTGAACAGACTTTTGATGAGACTAGGGGTGTAGGTTTGATTCTCACGCCAGTGTCATAATGTTATCTCCTAACACAGCCTGAGTGGGGCCCTTTTGAACAGGGGAATTGAGCGGACTGTAGACATTGAGGCGAGGAGAAGTTTAAAGTTTAACACGTCAGTGTAATTCGGGGTAAACTAGATTGGGGCACTTAAGAATGTTTGCTCTAGGGATGTCAGTCCATAATTGACTGACAGGCCACTTGTTAGCTAATGTGATTTGATAGGTACTTCGGAGGAGGAGCTTAAGCCATCATCTTGAGGGTTGGGTAAAAACTAAGGAAAGGGAGGAGTTTAATTTGGACAATAGATTAATACTTATACTGCGAGCCTGTGGAATTCCCGTCATTAATCGCAGCCTGCCGGCAAACAAACAGGTCGACGTAAAGGTATATTTTACTGTCGTACTCTGGTTTGGCGATTAATGGGAAGTTCCCAGGTGAGAGAAAATATTAATTTTAATCTTGTATACTTAGGTTAGGGAGTTAAGCTTAGTCTATACTACCTTTTCCTAATTTGTCTGCACATTCTGCTTGAAATAGTTCTGTGAGTATTCAGTATCTCCGTTAGGGAACTGCTAAACTATTCCTATTTCTTGTATGTTTGTGTCACATGTTTTTCATTGTATGTTTTCATGTGTATAAAATAAGATGTGAACAATGACATTTGCTATAATGAAATGTAATTATATTGTTTTCACGATCAGCCAAAATATGAGTTGGGACTGTGGGAAATGATGCCCAAATATGTGCAGGGATGCTGCTACGTTTTGTGTGCCCACCATGTGCTCACTTAATGTGTTCACCTAAACAGGGGATTTATAACCCCAGGGGGAGAATGATGGGTGTACAGTATTTACTGTCACTGAAAGATAATATTCAGGACAGCGTGCACATATATAATGTTTGAGTTTTCAGCACATAACCTGCTCCACGTGGTCATGTAATATCTATGTCAGCCAACTCGAAGTCTGAGTGAAGACGGACAACAGACTTAGAAAGTCAACTATCATGACATAGCATTTGAGGGAAGGCAGGATATGTGACGCCCATGTAAGACAAAAGACCTTCAGACTAGACTGGAGAGGATGTGGAATATGAGGAGGAGTGATGGGCTATATCTTATTATTATATGTTGTATTAATTGATACATGTATTCTTAGTGTAAGTCAAGATACTACACGTATGTGTTTTGTTTCCATGATTACAGCGCCCATGTGACGATCAGTCCATGAAGTAGCCTACATTGTGTTAGACTCGGCCAGCTGGGAACGAGGTGGAGAACGAGGTGGAGAACGAGGTGGAGAACGAGGTGGGGATGAAGTGGAGAATAAGCTGAAACAGGCAGACAACAGGCAAGGAAGAGTTGGACAAGCTTGACAGTTCCTCACGGCTGTCAGAGGCTTATAAGTTGAGTTAACCCCTTTATGTTAACCTATTATCATCATTATCATACCACTCTAACCCCCGAGCTGTTTTTCTCGCTGAAGCTTAACACCATCATCAAATTAACCAGTCACTGTTTGTGTAAATCAACAAACTGGGAATTTCATTGTAGTAAATAAAGCTGTATGTCAAGTTTTAAACTACATAGTTTGTTAAATTCCAAATGTCTGTTCTTACATGTTTAATTAAACTGTTAGGATAGAATACCATTTGGTGGGGGCTCAAATAATATAATAATTCTTTAATTATTAATAATAACACCGGGAGAAGGTAGATGACGGAGGAATCACTTGCCCTGTCTAATAATTCATTAAGTATGATAGACATCTAAAATTCCT